CTTTTACATTTGTTCAGATTGTATTGTGGCCATCATAAAATATATAGTATACAGTTTGTAATGACTTAGACAGATTGTATTGTGGCCATCATAAAATATATAGTATACAGTTTGTAATGACTTAGAAACTTAAATTACCAATATTGATAATCTAGAATATAAAATAAGAACCTCCTACCTTTTCTATTTGTTCAGATTGTATTGTGGCCATCATAAAATATATAGTATACAGTTTGTAATGACTTAGAAACTCAAATTACCAATATTGATAAGCTAGAATATAAAATAAGAACCTCCTACCTTTTCTATTTGTTCAGATTGTATTGTGGCCATCATAAAATATATAGTATACAGTTTGTAATGACTTAGAAACTCAAATTACCAATATTGATAACCTAGAATATAATATAAGAACCTCCTGCCTTTTCTATTTGCTAAGATATCATTATATTTAACAAACTCACCACAGTGGCTCTGCCTGTATGTCGCTGTTTTGAAAATACTTGTTTACCTATGCCAGCTTTATTTAAGCACATGTTTATAACCAATTGGCTTGACAGTATATACAAGTTTATATTGTGTAGACATATTCACGGATTAATACTGCCATCACAGCTCCACTGCATTTCTCAGAACTAGTTTTTTTCCTTAACAAAACCTGGAATAAAACCAAAGACAAGGATAGGTTTGTATCATACCTTTAAAATACTTGTTTCATATAAGTCAAAGTCATATGGCTAGAGCAAACATAAAATGTATATTGATGTCTGACAGTTGGAACATTGATCTAGCAAAAGTGTGTCTTTGCAGTATCTACCAACCTGTACTGTTTTTGAATATCTACAGAGCAAGCTTGACCACATCTACAGATACCATAAGAAACATCACCACAACAAACTGTATATGGTAAAAATTGTTTCGTGAAGGAAGTCTGTAATAAAATAAATACAGACATCTATATTTACACCTGTATGATACACTTAGGAAGCTTTTTGTGCATAATTGTCAATACTATATCAGTAGATAGCAAATTCTACTTTTATTTTGTTATGGTTTTGTGTATTGTTCATTTATTATTCCTTCTATCTTTTAGTTGATCTATGAATCTTTAGTTACATTAAAGCTCTAACTCACCTTCTATCTTGAGTATGTTGATTTTGAGTATGTATTATGAAACTCACACAAGCTTCTTCTAGTGGTGATGTACAGATATTAACCCTTTCCTGAGTATGTTGATTTTGAGTATGTATTATGAAACTCACACAAGCTTCTTCTAGTGGTGATGTACAGATATTAACCCTTTCCTGAGTATGTATTATGAAACTCGCACAAGCTTCTTCTAGTGGTGATGTACAGATATTAACCCTTTCCTGAGTATGTATTATGAAACTCACACAAGCTTCTGCTAGTGGTGATGTACAGATATTAACCCTTTCCTGAGTATGTATTATGAAACTCCACAAGCTTCTGCTAGTGGTGATGTACAGATATTAACCCTTTCCTGAGTATGTATTATGAAACTCACACAAGCTTCTGCTAGTGGTGATGTACAGATATTAACCCTTTCCTGAGTATGTATTATGAACTCACACAAGCTTCTGCTAGTGGTGATATACAGATATTAACCCTTTCCACACGGGTCAAAGGTCATGTTATCGCATTTGTTGACTTGCATTCAAATTTTCATTGAAATACTATTTTATGAATTTATGTCAATAAGTTTGGTATCAAATTGTAGATT